GCAAGCTATAAAATTCCAGGATCTGGTGAAGTTTAAAACAGTGCAAATAATATATAAGGTAAGGAAAGGGATGCTCCCAATCGAAATAAGTAAATGGTTCTTAGAAAGAGAAGGGAGGTATAATTTTAGAGGGAAGTGGAATTTAAAATTACAAAGAGTAAGAACAACATTGAAAAGGATGTCTATTTCAATAGCGAGAGTTAAAATCTGGAATAAGTTAAAAGAAGAAATAAAGGTCACTAGTGATATAAACCAGTTTAAAATACAACTCAAAAAAGAAATATTAAATAAGTATAAGAATCAAGAAAATGCAATTAACCCAAGACAGCAGTCAAACTCAAGTTTATTTTCTTCTGCAAATTAGCAAATATAAATATAGTTTTAGTTGAACATGTGAAAATATTTTTTTGAGATGTTATGTTCTAAGTTGAAGACATTGTATACGTTTTTGTTGTTCAAATTTAGATGATGAGGATGTAAACCTGAGGGGGTAGGGCAAAATAAGTATATACTTCTGCCTACTCCTTTTCAAACAACTGTATGGAATGATTTTAGGAAAAATTGGTGAATGTATATGTTTGAAATAAAAAAGAACTGAACTGAACCTTGGCGCTAATTTTCTGGGACATCCACTCCTGAGAAAATTGGCAACTGTCCTGAATATTTTTTAATAATCTTTCTCAGTATAAAATAAGGGACTTCGTATTGTTTGGAAATGGCGTTTTAACCCTTCCCAGATTAAACATTATTCAGACACTGTTGTCGAAATGAAAAGCACACAATTGCTAATTTCTGGGCAGAACCTTAATTGTGTAATTCTCCTGTTACACCACATACCAAAGTTGGCCTTTTCAGCCATGTCCACATACAAAAATACTTTTAAAAAAAATATTAATTAACATTAATACTGCTGTCTGCCATGTTACTGGCTCATTAGATATTTTCTTGAAAAAGCACTTGAACAGGTGTAGCTACTAAAGTGACCACTGAAAACAGCCTTTTCATTAAAAGAGTGAATGGCTGTGTGTAACTAATATTTTTGTTCTGACAAAACAAGACAATTTAATAAAATGACTGTAAGAAGACCCACTAAGGTAGGTGCAAAAATTCAGCTTCTTATTGTTGAATAATTGTCCACGACTATTCATTTTTTCTTCTAATTAAGACACACGAACACATTGCTTCATGCTCTGTGTCTGAGTTCATTTTGTCCTTGTATTTTACTTTAAAACTAAAGAAAAATTTTACTATACCAAACAAGAACTGTGCCTAAAGATCTAAATCAGGAACTGGTTCCAAATTGTTCCATTACTCAGCTACTTTTCCTGACAGCCACATGTTGCACGACAATGATACCAACATCATGGGAGTGGAGGATTGCCACGCCTGAGTCATGCTCAGAATTTACACAGAACAATAGAACTTGTGTTAGCCTTCCTTATAATTTATCTACAGGAGAATCAATACTGGCAGATCTGTGTTTAAATAAACTGTTTTTATCGTAATCATTTTCTTGATGGCACGGCGCGGTTCTATTGGAGCTTAGCAATAACTAGGGAGGACTCATGGTGGCAGAGGCAACTGCTATTGAGACTGTCCAAACTGACATAGGGTGGGGTAAACCCTGGACAGGCATCTAACACAAGCACACACTGTCAGCAGTAAAAAAAATTATTTCCCAACTTTTAGGACTATCAAAATCTTGTGTGTAACTATGATCCCCATTGCTGATCCACTTCAGGGTTATGGGGGAACAGGGTGAGAGGCACACCATGCCCTGGATGGATTTATACTCAACGGATGGCCAGAAACATCCATCCATCTATCTTAACCAAATTCACGTCCGCACCTGCAACCAATTTAGAGGCAGCAGAGTGTGCAATGGATCCAAATGTGGCCTCACAGCAAGAAGGTCCTGACCTTGAACCTGCTGGTCAGGTGAGGTCTTTCTATGTGGGGTTTGAACGAGTTTACTTCATTGTAGTCTTTTATCTGTGCATCTAAAAGTCAACATTTCCTGCTAATATTTCCCTTTTCCTCCTAACTCCATATCCTGATACGTAACACAAATAATCCCCACTTTAAAAAAAAAAAACAGTTGAGAGTTAAGAAAGGTTTAAAATTTCATGATTTCAGTCAGACGAACCTCTCTTTGCCAGATCAATGGCAGTTTCTTTGCCGATGCCAGTGTTTGCTCCAGTGATGACAACAACTTTTCCCTCCAGCTTTTCATCACAAGACCAGCTGCGCCGGAAGACATTTCTGGGATGTTGAGAAAGCAGACTTAATGTCACAATCAGCAACACAGGAGTGATATGGCAAAACACGCAATTACACAACTGTAACTTAACAGAAAACTCTTTCAACTTCCAACAACCCGCAGCAAAGAAACTATTATCAACAACAATCTAGTCTAACGTAACGTATTAATAAATAACCCGACGTAATTTTATTTATTTATCGATCATGCAGCCTTAACACAAACTCAAAAACTTTCAGACTGAGGGATTTTGAGGTTTATGTAAAGTCTGCTTACCTTAAAGACGACATGTCTCTGGATTTCAGAAGTCACCGAGACTCAAGTACCTCATCAAAACCCGAAATTAGTTACTGATCACTGATTCACCTCCACACGAAGCCCACAATGTTCATAGAAAGCCCCTGTAGATAAAAAAAACAAAACATAACAAGGCGGAAATGTCAAAGTGCAGTCAGACTTGACAAGCTGGATTTTCAACCAATCAACTGCTAGGCCGTCGGTGAACGAGAAAGCTGATTGGTTAACGTGAAAGTTTGAGTCTCACCCCCTAATAGGTGTGCTCGATTCGTGAAGCTGGGCTGCAGGCACGGGTGGGCAGGTCCGAGGAAGGAAATTGAAACAGGTTTTTCTTTTATTCTTTTCTCGAGGCTCTAAAAAGATCTCAGTTTATTCACTCCTCCTAGTGCTGCGATATTCGGTCAGTTCTTGCGCAATCTTGGTGACAAAGGCGTACTACCACTAACAACAACAACAACAATAATAATAATAATAATAATAATAATAATAATAATGACGATAACAGCAGTCTTTTATAGCTTTATATTTTACTTCTCTACATAGGCTTTCATAGGTTATTTTCTGAATAATATATGAAAAAGCATTTAGCCTACCTCATTTATATACAGTTTGCTTCGACGTAGCCAGACACTCGAAGTTTTTTGTCACTTATTTTCAGTCCAGTCCTGATTGGTTGAACAACTTGACACGGACCTATGAATCAGGCACCTAACTCAAGGGTGTTGTGTCCACACATGACATCAGTTTAGCAAAGAAACAGTTTTTAGTTGCATCTTTAAGCACTTTGTTAATAGCGGCCTGTAGCTTGAACACATAATTTGTGTTTGAATTTGCCAAAAAAAAAAAAAAAATGCCATGAGAGACAGTTCCACTGGTATAAAATATTAATATTATTATTAGCCACAAATGGTAATTCCCAAAGAGTTTTTAGCAGATAATCTGGCAGATTTCGGCATGCTGTTCAGTGTTTCCTCAAAAAAGTTGAGGAAACTGAACAAGTGGAAGACATAAGAGCGCAAACCTAAAAAAAGAAAACACATCAACTACAGTACCTTGTACTTCTATGGGCCTGCAGTGCCTTGATAATGGCAATAAAATGATAACACTAACTCAAAAAAAACCAAAACAAACAAACCCCAAAACAGTGTAGTGTTCCTTATGTTGCTTAAAAATTAAATGTATAGACCAAGCTCTTGTGGAAAAAAATAATTAGTTTATCATGTTAAAGTATGTAAGGCTGTTTAACCCACCAAAACACTGACACGGAACCTGAGATGAAATCAATTAATCCCAGTTTGTTGATGTTAGGATCCCTCTGTTTAGGATGCAGTGTTTTCAGTTTTGTTAATTTTCAGGATTTCTTCTGTATATTGATATTCAAAGGGTTTGTTTCACATCTAGATCTGGGGTTTTAGTTTATTTCTGATCCTTGTATCCCTTGAATTTCCATGACTGGTCTAGTGCCATTTTTGTCTCTTGTCTCATATCCCTTTGTGTCAAGTTAGTTGTAATTCCTCAGTGATTAGCCTGTAGTTCTGGTTCTCATTAGTTTTCTCTCTGTGTTTTGTGTTTCTAGCTTGAGGTCTTCTTATTTTTACTGACCTGTTCTCAGTTAAGGCTGTTTTGTATTCTGTCCCTCGTTTTAGTTTTCATGCTTCCTCTGTCTTCTCATGCCTTGTCTGTAATTTTTTATCTGTCTGTGATTCAGCTTCTTGTCCTGTCTTGTCTCTCTTGATTGTTGACATCTGTGTTCCCACCTGTTTCCCATCCCTAGTGATGGGCAAAGCAAGGCTTCGTGAAACACTGAACTCCATCTCAACAGTGACACCTGCTGGCCCACTTTGCTATCGCCACATCTCGATATGTTTCTGTGAAACAACGACGCAGGCAAACCCTGCACGATTCCAAACAAAGTTATTATACCAAACCTTCAGTAATTGATCATCACGTTTTGGAGAAATCTCCCCCAAAACAAGGGGAAAAAAAATCTGAGACTGTTAAACACCGCAATCTGTGACTGTAGTCATCAGCAAAATTCTCCATCTGTTAACGTTCGCGTTCTTCACCATAAATCTATTCATTAAGTAAAACAGAGGGAAAACACTGCCGTATTTACTGTAATAGTCACACAGGATTACAGCTGTTTTGGGTTCAGCTGTCTTCGTTTTTTTGCTCACAGCCCTCAAACTTTGGATATATTTGTTTGAGTTTTCTGGGAGTTAACGTCGATCACATTTTCTGACCAATCGGAAAAATACATTTCAGGCATGTTTAACTCATCCTCTGCTTAGCAACCTCTAACCATGAGGGAGCTTTCCCGAACTTTACACTGCTATGGATTTTCCATATTGTAACACTGTGTTTTACTCAGTGTGAGTCTGGAGTTTTGGTTATAGTGAACCTGCATAACTCCAGTTGTTTTTGAGAATATTTTTTAAAAAAAAGCGCCCCCCC